TTGAAGGCCGTCCACCACATGTCTTCCCCGGCCATTCCCTCAGCGTCCCCCAACCCGCTCTCGAGCCCTCATCTGTATCATAAGGTATAGCTCTTTCCTGGTGCAGTCACCTTTCAAGCTGCCGTGTGAGAGGTGGTGCTGAATGTTTTCTCCTCCAAAGAGAATTCCAGAGAGATCATTTGAAAACGGAATTTGCTTTCTTGTCATTCAGCCTCATGTTTGCTTGTCTTTCCAAACAAAACTTTAAAAAGTTAAACTATTTTAAGATGTAAGATATAGTTTAATTGGTTGCCACAAACATCTCTTAATTCCTCTGTTGAACTGATTAGCATAAAACTAAAAGTTGAAATAAGGCTCAAAATGAAGACTTTTCTTTTCCCATTTATATAATTCATTTATATGCTAAATACCTTGATTTCTAAGAAGCAAATGATAAAACCAAGAGCAGATCTTGCCATGATGTCCCGTGTATGCTGTTGTCATTCCCACGTTGCCTGATCCCCACCTGGGGTAGGAGTAAGCGTCAGGGTGGGCAGAGCTGTGTGCTGGGCCTCAGCAGGGTCCTGGCATGCCTGCCCGTGTGGCTCCTCACAAGTCCAGCTGTGTGCACGGAATAAACAGGTCACGTTAGGTTCCTATATTCTTGAAGTACCTGAATGATTGGGAGAGCCATGACGAGGATCTTCCAGGTCAGCCTCTATCATGCGTGATGTTCCCTTGGGCTGTGCGGATGCTCGGTACGTTCGTCGGTGTCCACGCCTCTTACTCTGCTCCACTCCTCCTTTGCTTGTCTAATCCTCCTTTGCCAGGAAGTTTTATTGTTGAGGCTTGTGTCTTTGGCCCTGTGTTGTATGATGGTTGTTTTTAGGAGTTAAGTCATAGAACGTTTCCTCTTGGATTTGTGCATCCCCGATAGACACATTCAGGGTGAAAGAACAACTTCGCACAACAGCTCCTTCGTTGCATTTTGGCTTTGCTTTCCCAGCCGCCTCCTGCTGTTTGTCCCGCTCTGAGACTTCCCTGAAGCCGGTGTGTGTTTCCTCTCAGTCTGCTTGGCCGGGACTTTGCAGTGCGGAGAATGTGCTTTGGGTGCAGCCCAAGCACAGGCTGCTGCATGCCGGGATCGACAGGCTGCTGAGGGCAGAGTACTAGGCCCTGGCACGTGTGACTCGCTTGTTTCTAGAAGGTCACAGTTGGGGGAAGAACATGACCGGGACCTTCTTATTTCTTTTTTTTTTGGAGACAGAATCTGACTCCATCCCCCAGGCTGGAGTGCAGTGGTGTGATCTCAGCTCACTGCAACCTCCGCCTCCCGGGTTCAAGCAATTCTTGTGCCTCAGCCTCTCGAGTAGCTGGAATTATAGGTGTGTGCCGCCACACCCAGCCAATTTTTGTATTTTTAGTAGAGACGGGGTTTCACCATGTTGGTTAGGCTGGTCTCGAGCTCCTGACCTCAAGTGACCTGCCTGCTTCGGCCTCCCAAAGTGCTGGAATTACAGGCGCAAGGCACTGGCACCTGGCCAGGGACCTTCTTATTTCTATGGATAAGTAGAACAAGTTAGAAGTGAGGTTCTGCTGAATTTGTGTGGTTTGATCCTGGTATATGGTTGTTGCCTTCAGTCAGTCACGGAATGGGAAGAATACTTTTCTCTCAAATGGAAGAGTTGGAAAGTCCCAGAGGGCAGGTGTCCATCCCTCCTCCCTACGTAACATCACGTCGGCGCTTAGTGTGGTCACTGCCGGAGGACGTGGGCATTGTGCCTGTTGTCTGGCTCCAACACTGCTGTCTCTCTCTTTCTCCAGCAGCACAACGGCATGAAACTGTCCATGAAGGGCTCTCATGGCCACACCCAAGGCGGCGGCTACAGCTCTGTGGGTAGCGGAGGTGTGCGGCCCCCTGTGGGCAACAGGGGACACCACCAGTATAACCGCACCGGCTGGAGGAGGAAAAAACACACACACACGCGGGACAGTCTGCCCGTGAGCCTCAGCAGATAATGGCTCCTGGCTGCGTCGGCCTCCCCCATCCCTCCGCAGACTGCCCCGCGGCCTCGGCCACCGGCAGGGGAACCGAGACCAGCACCCCGCACGTCAGCCGGGCTCACGGCACGCCCGCCGCTGATCACTCTGCATGTTTCTTTGTGTGGTGGTCGCGTCCATCTTCAAGAACAGCTCGTTGTGCTCATCTGTGAAGCCTTATTAAACGTGGACGTTGTTTTCTGCCTTCCCAGGATTCTTCCTTCAGTGCTGAGGCAGGTCAGGCTCAGGAACTGCAGGGACGTGAACATGCGCTTGCGGTTTGCGGTAGCCGTGTCTGTTCCTTCGCGGTTTGCTATTTTCATTTCCTGTTTGTCAAAGCAGCAGAGGAGATCAAACCCCGTTCGTGTGTCTTTCCTCCATGGATAGGCTTGGGAGGTCATTGTTTTACTGCCCTCACATTTTGTTTGAAATTTCAGAACTGTTTTTCTATGTAAATATTGAAAACTTATGATTTGTGCAATAACTCAGATATTTTTTATTTAATTTCCTATTTTCACATAAGTTATATTTAAGGGAGGAGGGAATTTTTTTTAAACAAGCTTAGGTCCTTTCCCGAGCTGCATTTTCTAAGTTGGGTCATCGTGTCGGCTGGTTGTCTGACGAGCATCGTTACAAACACCATGATGAGGGGTTTGGGGTTTTATTTTGATGTCTTTTCTTTTGGTCGGAGTGAGTGAAGGAGTCAGGTCGCCCTGACGGTTTTCCAAAGGGCTCGGCTCCAGAGCCCCCTGACGGACTGCCCGTGGCCCTGCTGTCGGGCCCCAGGCCGTTGTCTTGCTCTGACCACAGAGTTTTAATGTTTTGGTTTTCAGTTCTTTTAAACTGGACAACAAATCCAGCATTTCAAGTGCCAGAAGTATAACTTTCTAAGGAGAGAAGGGTTGTCACATTATAAAATCTTTAGGAAAATGTGAACTGGAAAATGCTTCAGTCAGTTTTAGTGACATAGCCTGTGATGATGGGTCTGGTGACTATTATTGCGGACCGTGGTACCCAGTTTTAGGAATGTGGAGAAAGGAATTCTGTTGATTCCATTGAGGAATCTGTAGCGTATGCATTCGTTCTGTTAAGAGCAAATCTAGGAGAAGTGCTTCAGCTGCCCAGTGCGCCGTGGGGAGTGTTTTAATGGATCATGTCGCAGGAGAGCACAGCCCAGCGTTGGGGCCGGGACCGCTGGCGCCCGACGTCGGAAGCATACAGGTATACTATGCAAGTGTATTCTGCCACAACAACCACTGTCTTTGTTACCTTTTTTTGAACAAGAATATATCCATCCTGCCTAACCCTGAGTTTTTGGAGCACCACAGTTGTCCTGGGAGTTGGTTGCATCTTGTAGGCCATCTGACTTCCTGTTGTTAAAACAGGGGTCTGGTCTTGCTAAACACTACAGGTAGGTTGGTCTTTGAAGTCCACTAGTGGAGAATGTCGAGACAAGATACTTATTACCATGACATCTGATGGATGTGCAGCAGTGGGGAGTTCTAGATTGATCTCTGAATGTGATGGACGCCCAGCAAGGACAAGCTTTAAAATGTCTGCGGTCTGCCCTTTTGAAGCAGGACTGGCTCACTCTGTCATTGGGAGCTGTCGGCTGCGACTGCAGGTTCTCTAGGAGGCATTCCAGAATAGAGTAGCACACTGTGTCTGCAGTTCTCGATGACCGAAAGTTATCAAAAATATTTAAAATATTTAAATTGTGAACCTATTGATAAAGAATATTTATAAAAACTGATCTGTAGGCCTGTACTAATCTCTACGCATTAGCAATATTGACTGTAAACCCACATTAAGGAAACCACTACGGGGCCGGCAGTGAGTGTCCCGTGGGGTGTGCATTTTAAAGCTCGTTTCATAGACACAGGTACCATGTTCCATTTCCGTCATGGTGAAGCAGATGAATTGGCCTGGCTACCACTGTGGTTGTGTGCTACAGGTTTGACAAAAGATATCATGTTTCGATTTTTTTGTGTGTGGACAACAATATGGAAGCTAAAATTGACATATTTTTATGTAAAGTTTTTCTATTCTTTGATTTTTAATAAACTTTGGAAACCAGTTTTGTGTTTGTGTTCAAGTGTATGCTTTCAAGGGTAAGAGCGGCTTCCACATTTTCAGTTTTGAATTTCTAAATTAGGGCAATACTTTAACCAGTTATTCTAAATAAGATTCAAAAAAAGGCAGATGATCCCAGTCCTATAAAGCAAGTTGCGGCAGGGAGATTGTATTGTCACTGGTCCATTAAAGTAGGAGGAGGTAAAAATACAAAAATTGCCGGGCATGGTGACTCACCGAGTAGCTGTAATCCCAGCTACTCGGGATGGTGAGGCATGAGAATTGCTTGAACCCGGGAGGCAGAGATTGCAGTCAATCGAGACCATGCTACTGCACTCCAGCCTGGGCGACACAGTGAGACCCTTTCTCCAAAACAAAAAAACAAAAAGTGGGTGGAGGTTCTAGGCTTTGCACAAGGCCTATATAACAGTAACAGAAACGTGCTCTCTGTCCTCACATTCTGATGCTAACAGAAATTCAGTAAAACTGTTTAAATGGTCCTTACATGCAGTTTCTGGCAAGCTGCTATGTGATATTATGTACTTAGACTGCCCAGGGGCAACATTTTACTTTCTTCATTTCTTTTAGGTCAACATTGCATCACTTGCAAACAAGACATTACAAACCAAACAATCATAATGTAGCTTAAAATGTAACGGACATTTGGAATTTATTTGAGAACTGGCGTTTGGGATTTTTTTGAGACGGAGTCTCGCTCTGTTGCCCAGGCCGGAGTACAGTGGTGCAATCTCGGCTCACTGCAGGCTCTGCCTTCCAGGTTCAAATGATGCTTCTGCCTCAGCCTGCTGAGTAGCTGGGATTAGAGGCACCCAACACCATGCCCGGCTGATTTTTGTATTTTTAGTAGAGATGAGGTTTCACCATGTCGGCCAGGCTGGTCTTGAACTCCTGACCTCAGGTGATCTGCCCACCTTGGCCTCCCAAAGTGCTGGGATTACAGGTGTGAGCCACCACACCCTGCCGACATTTGGAATTTATAAGGAAAGGTATAAGAATTCTTCTAGGCCAGCAAGTGACAGAACTGCGTGTCCCAGCCTGTGCAGCCCCTGGAGTGCATGTTGTAGAACTATCAACTCTAGAGTCCTTCCAGTTGTCAAGGTGGGTGTTGTGGGTAAAACACATTCCTTCCACCTGAAGAACAGAGTAGCCCTGTCCTCTTGGCACCTGGTTCCTGAGAGGGTGCAGAAGCTGCTGACAACACTGCCTAGTGGTGCTGTGGGGAAGATGGCAGGCAGCTGGGTGGGACTCGAAAGCCTCTCCAGGGGGCCGAGCCCTGTGCAGGGTCTGCATGAGCTGCCATGGCCAGGGTGGGGCTGGCAGGAGCTGAGCTGGGCCTCCGAGGGAATTGGGGGGCTTGTAGCCAGGGGCATCTGGAGTAGGAGCCCACGGCAGTGCTGAGGTACAGGGCACTGGAGTGGGGAGATGTGGCTGAGTTAGCCTCTGTGTTGGAGGCGGGACTGGTGGGTGTTGTGGGGGGGCACTCTCGGCCTGCCCCGGGTTTCCCTGTGGGTGGTGATGCTGCCTACTGAGCCACTGGTGCCTGTAGGAGAGCTGTCTTTAGGAGGCTTCCAGGAGCTGCCACTGGAGCAGCCACGTTACCAGGGAGCCTGAGGCCCCACAGAGGCATCTGAGGTGTCAGATTTGGGTCCTGCTCTCCTCGGAAGCTGGGAGTACTGGAAGGTAAGGGCTTTCTGGGGGCAGAGTGAACCTGTCCAGGCCACTGCGTGAACATCAGTAAGCCCACCACGTCATCTCGGGACCCCGTGCGCTGGATTTCATGGTAACAAGTAACCCCCTCATGACCAGCTTTTGTACATTCCTTTTGATTTGTCCGGGGTCTTGAGTGGCACCTCTTTACCCTGTGAGATACCCAGAGATCTCTGTAAATGCTGTGCCCAGCATGCCTCGGCCCGGGCATGAGCTGTACGCAGGGGAGGTGGCGACATTTGTAATCCAGATATGGTTTCATTGTGACTGGGTCACCTGTGATGCCCTAAGCCTTGAGAACTTGTCATGTGTGTGTCATTATCCTCTTGCTGTCTAACTTGTGAGATTCTTGCCAAGCCTTAGGTGACTCTGACTACCTTTGGTCCAAGATAATTGCCTAGAATGGATGGTGGCTCCTGTTAAACACACACACATCCTAGACACCACGCCGGGGGCTATGCCTGTTGTTTAAGAATGGCCCCAAAATATGTTGCCTGCACTGTGTCTCCAGGGCCTGTGTGGGAGGGGTAGCTTGGGAGGGCCGGGTCCCGCTAGCCCTGGGTTGCAAGGGTAAACTGCCTGGTGTCATTCATGGTGAGATTTACTTACCCCATGACTTGATCCTAGAGAAGGACCAGCTAAGGACTTCAGAGGTCTTGGAGTGAGTTCCAGGCAAGGGCAAGAAACCAAGGCTTTTCATGGGTTCTTAGGTAAAGGAAGGGGGTGTGGACCAGTCGCACTGGGAGGTCGAGTCCTGTCTCCTAGGAAGCCACGTGGCTGTGGGGTGAGCTTACCCAGGGTTCCTTCCTGCCAGTGTGGATATGGCGCCCTCTGCCCAGGCCTCTTGAGATGGAACGCTTGGAGCTCGGCCAATGCTCAGGTCGTCATAGGTGCTGTGGGGTCACTCACACTTGGTTGAGGGGTATGTGACTCGAGGAAGATTCCTGTCATTCCTGCTTGTATTTCATCAAGTCCTGAGCGAGGTTTGTGAGAATGGGTGCAGGTGGCTGTGACCGAATCCAGGTCTCCTCAACAGACAGGAGACCTCCGCACATCCTGCCATGTCACTGTTGGAATTTTCAAATTGGGAGGAATCTTAAGAATCAGCTAGAGCAGCTCAGCCCCAAAAATGAGAAACTGAAGTCCTGTGATAGGAAGGGCTTCTAAAGGTCACGTGGCACATCCGCCAGGCCCCCGAGAGCACGCTGGGCCTGGCTCCCACGCCGCTGCTCTTTGCAAAGGCCTGCGGCCCCTTTTTGTTGTCTGACGACATGTAGAGAAATTGCTGTGAGTTTACGCAGAACACTGGTGCTTACGCTATAATTGAGTCTCACCAGGTTCTGAAGATGCATCTTGTGCCCGTGGCTCACGTCTGTGGGAGCCTTTCAGGGACATAGCGGCATCACCAGCCTGGCCCTGTGTGTTGAAATGGTTATGGTGGAACTACGTGGGCTCGTGAAACGTGGGAGGCTTCCAGTTGGACTTTCTGTGGCCAATATTGATAGGATCCTGCCAGCGGAGAGCCCGGGCCTAGGGCCAAACGGCTGGAGTTAGGAGCTGGGGTGCGCAGAGCCCTGGAAGGGTTTGGCAGGGCAGGGGAGAAGGGAGTAACAGTCTGACTCTGTGCTTCAGGCTTTTTCTTGCTGGTTCAAGTGTCCACTGAAAGCAGCTAACATAATCAGTACAGCTTCTCTGTTTTGGGAAATCAAACCCCAGATCTTTAATTTGATTTAAAAAGCTTTCCAGGATCTTACCTTTGCCTCCCTTTTCAATCTTGCCGCTCGGCAGTTATTTCTGCTAGAAAATAGGTGTTTCCCTCTCAGTGTCTCCAAATGTGAAAGAAAAATCATCGTCATCAATAGTTGGGTATAAGAGAGGCAGCCTTCTCCAGAAGGGGAGCAGTGAGCAGGCAGTTCACAGAGCAAAAGGGAGGGTGGATCTCCGTGGACCGTCACTGGCTTCAAGTCTCGCTTCTGCTGCTTCCTGGCTGTGTGTCCCTGGGCATGTCACTCAACTCCTGTGCTCCAGTTTCCTCAGCCTGGCAATGGGCCATTGTACAGACAAAACGAGTAAACGCACATAAAGCACCTGGAGCCGTGCCAGGCCCGATGTGAGCATTTGGGCCGCATCGACTCATGTGATTAGACCTGGTAGACCCGGCGCAGGGAACCAAGCCTGTCAATTTAAAGGGGAGTGGCAGGAAGAACTCATTTTTAATGACAGGCAAAAAGGGAAAATATTGTAATACATGGCTTCCTATTTTCCTTTTCCCTTTTTCTTGCCTTTGAATTTATAATGTTGCTTATTTGGTATTTAAGATTCTTGCTCTGGAGCTTCGAACATTTTGAAAGAAAAAGTAGTGTCATTTAATAAATGCTGTCATTTGACGTTCTGGTTACTATTTTAGGGCAGCATGGTAGGTAGATACTGCTAGTTACCTACCCAATATCCATTTTCCTTTATTACTTGCAGGATTGCCAGGTTTAGAAAATGAAAACGCAAAACTCCAAGTTAAATTTGAATTTAAGTAGACAATGAATACTTTTTTGGTGGATGTTCCAAATATTGCATGGGCAATTTAACTGGGTGTCCTGTATTTTATCTGGCTCAACTTTGTTTAGACAGCAGGGTGCACAGCTGAAAAGATAACTTGTATAACATCCTTGCAGCTAGGGGTGGTTGCAACAGAGTGCTTTCCTTTGGAATGAAACTTTTCTGGGATAAAGTACTTTGCTTCCCTCCTTGGATTCTGGCTGGAATTCGAGTGCAATGCCTGGTGACACAGCAGCCATGTTGTAATCATGAAGCGGCTAGCTGTGTAGTAAGGCTGACAGAGCAGGAAGCTGGAAAGGACCCAGAGTCGTGAGGCTTTGGGCCTTCTTTATATGTTCATATATAACATTTGCATGAAGAAGACACCCGCATCTGTTTATGCCACTGATATTCAGGGCTCTCAGCTGAATACAGTTTTAACTGATATATACAGGAAACACATATTTCAAACAAAATCTCATGTGAAACTCCGTATGGGTGGTTCTGGTTAAAGCAGTCTGGTAGGGAGGAAAAAGGGGGGGACATCGCTTCATTGCTTGAATTTCTGCTCCACTCCCTTTCCCTTCTCCCGGATTTTGGGGGATGCCCTGTGGAACCCCTCACTTTCCATGGAACACATCTTTAAGCCAGGAAACCACCCATTCTTTCCCACTCTTATTCTCATTTTTATTTTCTCAACTCTTTTGGGCAGGGGTTGAGGAGGGTGTCCTGCGGTTTGCATAGATGCCTGCTGGACTGATCAGAGCCCTGGATCCCATACCTGGAGTCGGGAACTTCCCCCAGAGCCCCGCAACTCCCACCCAGGTTGCTGTGCACGGCGGAATGGGCCCGTCAGGAAACAGGAAGGGAGCCTGCTCCGCTCAGGTCATTTGTCCTAATCCAGCTAAGGCACAGGCTGGAGATCTCAGGGGAGTCCCTTCCCTGCGCCCTTAGGAATGCTGGCCCCACCTGGGTGCTGGTTTCACCACTTTGTTACCAAAGTCTTTGTCACAGACAGGTATCGGGTGAGCTTACAGCTCAGCCTGCAGACATAGCCCCAGGGCAGCATGGCTGGACTGGCTGTGCACAGATGCCTCCTGTGGGCTGCGGCTCCCCTGCGGGTGGAAGTCTTGGCCCCTGGACCTGGCATTCGAGGTCTTCCAAGACATTCTGCCCTCGGAATGCTTGCCTCCCTATTGATCTGTCCTGAGTGGCTTGTTATTATTTTTTAACAGTCAGTCATGTATCGGTAGTTATGTAAAATGTGGCAAAAATGAATGGCTGAAGAAAAATGAAATGGAAAAAGAAAAAATCTGAAAATATACAAAATAAAAACCCACACTGTTTTGCTATTGGATTCAACAGACCTGAAACTATCCTTGCAGGAGCCCCTCGGTGCCCACCCGTAGGCCACACTCACCAGCTGCACCCGGGGCTGTGCTTCCAGGACCCAAAAGCTCCCTCCCTGAGCCGCACCCAGGCCTGCTCCCACTCACCTCACCAGCCGCACCCGTTCCTCCCACGGCCCGCCCAGGGGACCATTGATCCTTTAGTCCTCTTCGGCCAGTGTACCCCCAATGGCCCAGGACGGCCCCTAGTACACAATGGCTGTTTCTTGTGGGCAACGCGTGGAGGCACACATCAGGGCCCTGCTTTTAAGCAGGAAGTGCTGAGACCTGGGTGCCACCTCTTCCAGGAGCCATGGATGCCGGGGCTCACCTCCAGAGATTCTGAATTAAATGGTCAGGAGGGAGCCTGCACACCGGAGAGCTCTGAGCACCAGGCGAGTCTCCCGTGTAGCCAGGTTGGGAGCCATCGCTGTTCACGTGGCCAGGGCTGCCTTGCCAGAGGAGCTCATCTTCCTTTGCCACTGTGTAACTGTTCGTGTTTATCAAGTCATGACCTCCCTTGCTACAGTCACTCTTGTCTTTCGTGCTCTATTTAATTTTTTTAAATGCTGGTGGCCTCACGAAGTTTTTTTCACCACCACTCATGGACAGGACCTGTCCCGTGAGACATGCACCAAAGCACGGATAGGGATGGCCACGATCCTGCCTGGAACGGGACTTCAGAACTGGGCAGAGCATGGCTCCTTCTGGTGGGGGCCCCAGAACTCTTTTTCAAAGGCAGTGGCAGGACGGGATCCACAGTGCTTGACCCTTTGATAAGGAGACATCCTCTGGCCAAAGGTGACACCACAGGGATTAGGTCCACGTGCTGCTTAACACTGTTTTGGGTGCAGAACAAAGGGCGGCTGGGACATTTCTTGTCTGGTCTCCCCCTCTATGTGTCCTGAATTTCTAGCTTGTTCAAAGTGGTCAAAGACCCAACGCTCGTCTGGCACAGAAGGGGTCGTGCCTACATGTAGGGAGGTGCTGAGGCTTCTGTCTCCCGTTGTATGTCCCCAGGGACAGGACAGCCCCCTGCCTGTTGTTCCGAGTGTCCTCTATGAATGGGGACCGTCTGTCGTCCGGGTAACTCCCCTCCTTCACCTCTGTCCACCCGCTCTGGTAGCCACCCCTTCCTCTGCATCCCAGAGAGCCTCGAGGACTCCCCTTTTCTCTTCTCTAGTGTTGGCTCCCATATCTGTCAGTTAATGACCTATTCATTATATGAACATGTTTCTCTTGGGTCATTATTTAACTTTTCAAATTTATCTTCTTTACTCAATAAATTGTGAGCATGGATGTCTGTTCCTCATGGGATCACCCCTGCCAGGCATGTAGAAATTGCTTGATGTAGTTTCACTGGCTTGTGGACAGGCAGTCATGCTTCTCTGTGCTTCTGTGATTCTATGCCAAAGAAAGTCAGTAGCAAGCAAATAGCAGAGCTTTAGTGAATAAGAACAATATTTTACCTTGAAAAAGGCAGCAGGAAAGAGAGTGAAGACTCAAGTTTCCTTTATTAAGGAAAATTGAAATCTAGGTACCTACAGATGCTCTTTGACTTATGGTTAGGTCTCAGTAAACCCATTGTAAGTCAGAAATGCGTTTAATACACCTAACCTACCAAATGTCTATCTTACCTGTGCTTAGAGCACTTATATTAGCATACAGTCGGGCAAAATCATCTAACACAAGCCGATTCTATTAATATTAAAATTGATGTAATATATGTACATATTTTAGTACATGTGATAGTTTAATATGTTCATATAATGTATACAGGTTAAATCAGAGTAATTGGGAGATCCATTGCCTTAAATATTTCTTTATGCTAAAAACATTGGAATTATTCTATCTATTTTGAAATATACAATAGGCTGTTGTAAACTTTAGTGTCCCTACTGATCTAGAACTACCAGGTGATCCAGAAATCTCACTATTGGGCATATATCCAAAAGAAAAAATTATTGAAGAGACATCTGCACTCCATGTTTATTGCAGCACTATTGACAATAGCCAAGATGTGGAATCAACCTAAGCAGCCATCAGTGGATGAATGGATACAGAAAATGTGGTATGAATACACAGTGGAATACTCTTCAGCCATTTGCAACACAGATAGAACTGGAGGCCATTATGTTAAGTGAAACAAGCCAAGCAGAAAGGTAAATATTGCCTGTTCTCATATGTGGGAGCTAAAGTGGATCTTCTGAAGATAGAGAGTAGACTGGTGTTACTACGGGTTGGGAAGGATTGGGAGTAGGGGGATGAAGAGAGGTTGATCAGTGGGTACACAATCTCACATAGTGTGTGCTTTACTGAAATAAAAACAGAATGGTCGTATGGGTACTCTTAAGTGTGGTTTCTCCAGAACACATACAATTTCCACACCATCATAAAGTTGAAAAATCATTAAGTCAAGCACTGTCTGTAATAGAATTTAATACAATGCTAAGGTCCTTCATTTAATTGTAACATAAGTCACTCAAGTGTTGCCATCCTGGATGATTTTCTTTGATTTTTTTTTTTTTTTGAAGACAGGCTTGCTTTATCTGGAGTGCAGTGGTGTGATCACAGCTCATGGCAACCTCGTACTCATAGGCTCAAGCAATCTTCTCATCTCAGCCTCCAGAGTAGCTGGGACTACCGGCATGTTCCACCATGCCCAGTTAATTATTATTATTATTTTTTGTAGAGATGGGGTTTTGCCATGTTGCCCAGGGTAGTCTCAAACTCTTGGGTTCAAGTGACCCTCCTTCCTCAGCCTCCCAAAGTGCCGTGAGCCACCATTCCCGGCCCCTCTTTGATTTTTTAAAAGTGCCTGCTAGCTCATCAGCACGGGAGAAAGGCAACTTGGAGGCACAATGAGACGGATGATTGCCAATGTTCTGTTTCATTTCAGTTCTTAAGTTCCTGGATGGGGCGCTTACTGATGAGTCTGTCTTGCCTCTCAGGGGAGCCAGGCCTCCATCCACTCCTGCACAGCAGGGACCACTGCACGGTGACCCAGGGTCTGGGGTGGGCATGTTGTGCCCCTCACCCCCTCCACGTGGAGTCTGGCTGAGAGCTCCCTCCCGCCTGCCAGGCCTGGTACTTGGGTGCAGGCCCTTGGAGTTCTGGCTGTGCTGTGTAGTCTCACCCTCGAGAAGAAGGGGGCGCTGTTTCCTCAGCCTTGCAGAGTTTCTCTGTGGTTTAACCACCCTGCCAGCCTCCCTGCTGCAGCCGGCAGCACGTCACTCCATGAAGGAGGCGAGCCCCGGCTAAGGTAGACTGTGAATTAATATTTTTTAAAGCCCCAGCTATTCAGGTTTAAAAAAGGCCCAGGGACATGAGGCTGTAATTTTTCACTCTATTGAAAAAAAAGAAAAACCTGTACAATTGTAACAGTGACAATGAGGTTGAAGCTACAGATGCTGCACCTTGGGGATCTTGGGGTCCCTCCTGCTCCCCAGGGGAATCTATCGGTTTCCACAGAGGAGCTGCTAGAATTGCTGAAAACAGACTTGTACTCACCCAACAGAACTTGCACCAAGTTCTGGGGCCACATTCTGGTGTGGGCAGGGGATTGGTGCCCACTTTGCCATTAGGGTCCCCAATGTGCTGGGAGGGGGACATGAGCTTGATGAGTGGAGGGGCTGGGCCCCCTGAGGATGCTGGTCTGTTCTTCCCTGGAATCTGCCTGTGGCTCAGCCTCAAAACCTCAGGAATGGAAACAGGAGCAGAGAGCCGCCTATGCAGGGTCCTGGGTCCAGTTTCCGTCTCACTCCCCAATGAGCTTGTGAGCTGAGGCAGTGGCATTCTGTGACCTCTGCCTGGGTGGAGAATGAGACTTACTGTCTGGAGTGGTGGGGCCCAGATGCAGGCCTTGGCGCAGGGCACTTTGCAAACTGCCTGGTGCTTCGCTGATGCCTCTCCTTACCCTCCAAGCCCGCAGCCTTTAGGACCTCCTGCTCCTCTGCTGCTCCCTCCCTCCCTCTCCCTTCCCTGGCACTCTCTGTCTGGCTGCCTGGGCACTGACTTGCTGGAGGTCCCCTGGCTCACCGCCAGCAGACATTTCCCTGTCACCGCCAAGGGCTGAGGAGGTGACCGAGGCTCTGACTGGCCCTGGAGGCTGGAGTCCAGGGCAGATGCAGAGGAGCAGCTGGGTGCCATGCAGGCCTCAGGGAAATGTCCCAGGCACCTGCCTCGGAAGCCCTGGGGGCAAAACAGCCACTGAACTCTACAGGAGCCCTACCCCAGGACCACTTCTCCCTCAGGGAACCAGTGCGCTGTGTGGGGTGGAGCGAGTGAGGCCGGGAAGCCAGGGCCATGCCTGGTGACAAGGAGGATCCCTCCCGGACATGGGAGAGGCTGGGAGTGGGTGGCCAACTGGCCAGCCATGGGTCTTGGGAGCTGGCTTATTTTCGTTGTTAGGTTTATGGCTATATTAAGAGAACAGCAATTTTGGTGAATGACCTATAAGTAGACACTCAAAACCTACATTGGTGGAGATAAATATTTCTTGTTTTATCAGCACAAAAGAACACAAAACTGTCTTTTCTCTCTCTCTCCACTCTTTTTTTAATTTTTTTGAGAGAAGTCTTGCCCTGTCGCCCAGGCTGGATTGCAATGACACCATCTCGACTCACTGCATCCCCTCCTCCCGGGTTCAATCGATTCTCCTGCCTTAGCCTCCCGAATGGCTGGGATGACAGATGTGCACCACCACGCCTGACTGATTTTTTGTATCTTTAGACAAGGTTTCACCATGTCAGCCAGACTGTTCTCGAACTCCTGACCTGATGATCTGCCCACCTTGGCCTCCCAAAGTGCTGGGATTACAGGTGTGAGCCACCATGCTGGGCCCTCTCTCTCTGCTCTCTTTAGAATAATCTTTGTCTCCTTTTTGCTGTGATTTCACATCCTTCAGGTGGAGGTACTAGCGAGTCCGGACAGGTGGGACCTGCCTTGTGTCTTCCAGGCTGGGCTGGCTCTATGGCTACCCTTCCCACGAGGCCTCCGCATTGGTGCTGGGGGACGAGGCAGCAACTTGGTCCCCAAGTTGCTCTGATTTGTCGTTACACAGTAGCCCCCTTCTCTAGCGGGCGTGTCAGGGTGGCCAGGAGACAGGAGGCGGGGGCCAGGGAGGGGTTAGGCCTCAGCCTGCATGGGGGTGTCCTCTGCAAGGAGGCGAGCAGCTTAGCATCCGCCAGCACCAATCATTCGGTGGGCTTCGGGCTGCAGCGGGGTTCTAGTTGCCTGCGTCCTGGCCCTGGGGTGACTTGGGTACGGGGAGTGCTGCTGGATGTGTCAGATATGGAGGTGGGGGGGTCATAGGGTTGGGATGTTTTGTCCCCTCCAAATATGTTGAAATGTGGCCGCCAGTGCTGGAGGTGGGCCTGCTGGGAGGTGTTTGGGTCATGAGGGCTGATGCCTCTGCAGTGGTTGCTGCTGTCCTCATGGTAATGAGTTCCCACTATGAGTTCACACAAGTTCTGGTTGTTTAAAGAGCGTGGCGCCTCCTCCCTCTCTCGGGCTCCTTCTTTCGCCAGGTGAGGTGCCTGCTCCCCCTTTGCCTCCTGCCATGAGTGGAAGCTTCCCAAGGCCTCACCAGATGCAGATGTTGGTGCCGTGCTTCCTGTGCAGCCTGCAGAACTGTGAGCCAAAGAAACCTCTTTTCTTTATAAATTACCCAGTCTCAGGTATTTCTTTGCAGCAACATGAAGGACTAATACAGTGGGGCTCACCAAGCTGCCTTGTAGCAGGAGGGAATCTCTTTGGCCAACAGTTGGCCTTGTGGATGTCAAACAGACATGCAGAATCGAAGAAAACACAGAACGGGCAGACAGAGGCAGGCTTTTCCTTCATGTTGAGTATTGGAAAAGCGGAGGTTCCAAGTCCTGAGGCTGTGTCGGTGTGGGGGTGTGGCCTGCCCTGACCTGAGGTGTGCTGCTTTTAAGGCTTCTCACCCCACCCATTGGTCAGAGCGTCCACCCTGAATGGACCAGGGTGCTGATGGACACTGATCCCTGTGGCCGGGGCATCCGAGCATTTGGTGTTCAGCTCATCGGGGACTCCGTGGACACCAGAGGGCAGAATGGGGTCTGTCTGCCCCAAAGCCCCATGGGGAGTGAGCTTGAATTACCCCAGAGTCTGTGTAGGGAAGGCTCCTGGAGCCTGGCACTTTCTCCTTTACAGTGGCTTTCAGTTTGTGGATGTTTTTGAAGTTGTTGGCCCTGGGGCTTGTGTCAAGGGTCCTGAAGACCACCCCCAGTGTTGGTGATTTTCCCAGGAGAACTCACAGCCCTCATCATGTGGTGCTATCCTTACAGCATGGTTCATTACTATGAAAGGATACAGAGCAAGCCAGCGGGGGAAAAGCACGTGGGGCGGAGTCCAGGGATCTGGGCGCAAGCTCCCAAGAGCCTGTCCCAGTGCAGCAACACAGGACAAGATTATTTTCTCCGGTGTCGGGTTATGACAACACTTGTTCAGAAGGATCCAGATGGTCGCCTGGATTTGCAGCCGTGTGGTGTCTTAGGTGGTTAGTCAATCCACATGATGGTGTTAAGTTTCCAGCTTTGGGACCAATCTATCCCCCCTGGCAACCCAAGAAACCCAATCCAGGACTCTTTCCACTGGGAGTTGTCTTCATCCAAGACAATTAGTTTCCCATACTCATACTTAGAGGGAACCCCGGCCCCTTTAAGGTGGGGCTCCCTCAACTTGGAACACCTCACTCCTCAGTTCAGCTCCCCTGCTATTGCTGGCCTCCTTGACCGAGTTCAGAGGATGCAGCTCCATCCTTCTCCCTCTGTCCCAGCTTCTTGTATGTGAAAACAAACCAGGGAGGCTGGAGGCCCTGAGTCCGTTATTTTTGAATTCTGGGCAGCAGCGTTGGTGGCCTCGGTGGTGCACCGTGTTCAGGCGGTTAACAGTCATGCCGCTCTGTGGTGATAGCGCTTGTTGGCACCACAGTGAGCGTCGATGCTCTCGCGTGTTTCAGAGATGGTGGGATGGTGGGGAGGTGCCGGCAGGCAGGTGAGGAAACATCCTCCCTGGAGGAAAAGGCAGTAGGAGAGCATCCAGGAAGCTGGCAGAGCTGTCTGCTTCCACTAATCTTTACTATTGAGAGACTCTGGCTCATTGTACAAATTGGGCACACAGCAAGAGTGCTGGGATCAAAGGCAGTTGTATTCTGTCATCCCATGGCATCGCCGGGTACCCTTCGTTTTACTCCTGAGGCTGTGACTTGGACAAAGCTCTTTCTGCTGCTTTGGATTAAAAATCTTATCCTCCACAGGAAACAGAGCAGATGAAATGCACAGTGTGAAGGACAAGGATTCTGCTGAGAGAATTGCTGCAAGGGTTGCTCAGGTGATCATGAGAAGTAATGCATCAAACCATTCTTTAGGTATTTTTTTAAATTAGGAAGTATTTTTTTAAATTAGGTAAAAATCTCGCTGTTTGCCAAAATGATTCGTACATGGACAAGCTGGGAAAATTGCTCTGAAACATGTCACAGACTCCTGATTTGGCCCAACTGGGGTGTGAAGGATGAAATCCATCCTGAGCCCTTCCTCCTGCTTTTTCTGGTGCAGATGCAGCTCAGGTGCGGCTTCTCCTCGCCTGTGCCCATTCACCTGAGATGGACCATAACCGTGAAAGTCAGAAGACACTGACCCTTCAGAACATGACAGGGTTAAAAGATGCTGGAGGCAAAGAGTCTGCAGTTGATTTTTATTCACTTCCTTTCTCCACTCTGCCATTTGGAAGAAGGTAAGCAACTTAATACTATTTTAGACCACATGTTGTAACTAGCAGGAAAATGCCTTTGAGCTGATGATGGTGGCCCCAACACAGTGAACCTGTCTTAAATCCCTGCTTCAAACCCCTAAGGGTGTCACAGTAGCTACTATTTGAAGTCTTCCCATGCATGTGTAGGGTGAGGGGAGTACCAACAGCTCATCGAATGGGCTCCATTAGAAAGATCTGGATGGTTGCCTTTATTTGTAACTAGTTTCTTAGATGACAACTCAGTCCACAGGATTGAGTTAAGTCAGATTTCCAACTTTGGGGCCAATCCTGTCCTCATGGCAACCTAAGAAAGTCTGTCAAGGATTCTGTCCATTGGAAGTTGTCAAGACTTTGTCCTCATCGAAGACAATTCGCTTCCCATACTTATATAGATCCCTACCCCTGAAGTGGCTTCACACTCCTCAGCTCAGCTGCCTGCCTGGAATGGTAGTTGCTGGCCTCACTGACAGAGTTCAGAGGATGGGACTGGCTGGCAGTTCTAAAAGCCTGCCCCAATCCTCTGATTGGCTACTCAGAGGTAAGAACCAGAGCAGTACCCCAGGCTGCTAATCAGGAACCTGGGGCCCTGGAGTTCCTGGTGTCTGCTAGAGCTCCCTGCTGCTCCTGGTGTCTGCTAGAGCTCCCTAGACATGTTTTTAGATGGAGGTCTGACACTCAGTGTGCCCTCACACTGTCCCGTTGGCTGCAGTCTCAAGCTGGGACAGAATGATCAGACTGAATGTTTGTGTCTTCCCCAAACTTGTAGGTTGAAACCTAATCTCCAATATGAGCGTGTTTGGAAGTGCAGCCTTTGGGAGGTGATTAGCTCATGAGGGTGGAGTCCTCATGAATAGGATTAGTGTTTTGTTTTTGTTTGTTTGTTGTGAAACAGAGTCTTGCTCTGTTGCCAGGCTGGAGTGCAGTGATGTGATCTCAGCTCACTGCAATCTCTGCCTCCCAGGTTCAAGTGAGTCTCCTGCCTCAGTCTCCTGAGTAGCTGGGACTACAGGCACATGCCATCATACCCAGCTAATTTTTGTATTTTTAATAGAGACGGGATTTCACCCTGTTGGCCAGGATGGTCTTGATCTCTTGACCTCGTGATCTGCCTGTCTTGGCCTCCCAGAGTGCTGAGATTACAGGCGTGAGCCACCGCACCTGACCTTGAATGGGATGAGTGTTTTAAAGAGGCCTGAGAGAGACTCCTGGCCACTTTTGCCATATGAGGACACAGTGGGAAGGTCCCATCCCTGAACCAGGAAATGGGCACTCACCAGACACTGAATCGGCCTGCAGCTTGACCTTGATCTTCCCAGCCTCCAGAACTCTGAGTAATAAATTTCTGTTATGTGATAAGCCATTCAGTCTGTGGCATTTCGTTATACCAGCCCAAATGGACTAAGACACAGAACATAGATTGTGCCTCTTCCAGTTTCTTCAGGATCCTTCTGGGCCCAGAGAATGGAGCTAAGAGGGAGATTCTACCATTAGGGCTGGTCTTCACCTGTCTCTTAAGACTGATGGGCTCCCCATATGAATGACATTGGTCAACCTGACATCAACCCATTGGGTATGGCTGGGGCAGCTCCTCTTGTCTGTGAGGTGGGAACCAGGTTGGTAACGTTGCATCCTGTTAGCCAGGTTCCTAGTTCAGTTTAGCTGGTGTGCAGGTCAAGGACTCCTAAGGATTGAATTTCTTCCCTTCAAAAGATATTGAAGTCCTAACCCCCAGAATCTGTGACTGCGACCTTATTTGGAAATGGGTCTTTGCAGATATAATCATGTTAAGATGAGGTCATATTGGATTAAAGTGGTCTGTAATTCAATAACTGACCTCTTTAATGAAAAGGGAAATTTGTACTGAGAAACACAGAGGGAAATGCCATGTGAAGATGGAGGCAGAGATTGGAGCGATTTGGGGCAATGTGTATGTCTGCAAGCCAAGGAACACCAAGCATTGCCAGCAATCACCAGAGCCGGAGGAGGGGCCTGGAACCGATTCCCACTAGAGCCTCCAAAAGGATCCAACCCTGCTGACGCTTTGACTTTGGACGTGTGGCCTTCAGAACTGTGAGAGAATAAATTTCTGTTGTTTCGAGCCACTCAGAGTGTGGTATTTTGTTACAGAAGCCCTTGGATCTTAATAAAGACATTAATAGCTAGATTGGAGGCACCCCCTCCAAGGCCTGAGAGAAGGTTGTTTTGTGGAACTCTGGTTTAGTAGCTGGGACCACAGATGCGTGCCACTATGCCCGGCTGTTTTTTAAAATTTTTTGTACAGGTGGCGTCTTGCTGTGTTGCCCAGGATTCTGGCTGGGGACTGTGGTTGCAGGTGCTGGAGCTAATGAAAATGGGCGAGAGCATAAGAGCACAGTCACGTCTGTTCACTAAATCAACAGTCTTTTCCAGACTACGATTTAAGAATCTGTGCCTGAAGAAGCTGAAGTGGGCCTCAGAACTGGTCTCACGGTCCTCTTCTCAGCTCTGAGGTACCTGTGGCTTGTGGCAGAGCCGCTGTGGACGTAGCTGACCTAGTAGTCAATGCCTACAACTGCAGAAAGGTCACTCTACATTCAACAGAGTGTCTAGAAATCTCAATTCATGGTGTGTGGGGGCAAGATGCCCATTCTGACCCTTTAAGGGGGCATCAACATTTCAGAGGGTGGTGGGAGTGGTGATGAGTCCTCCTTAGGGTGGCAGCTCACCGCTTTGGGCTACTGGGGGGCAGTCACTGGCATGATTTCTCTATTTTAAGAATTCTGATGCTTGATTACATGGAAGGCTGGGTTTGTAGTTACTGAACCTCTCCAAGCCTGGGTAGCGTGCCTTCTCTCCCGAACGCTACGGAGTTCTACAGTGCCCGCATCCGTTTCTGTACCTCCTTCTTCCATCACTGATGGACGTTTAGATTGTTTCCAGTTTTCTACCACCACAAACAATGCTTCAGTGACCATCCTTAGCTGTGGCTTCTTGTGTACATGTGAGGATTTTTTCAGAATCAGGTCTCCACCTTGGACACTGTCCACACATTGGGCCAGATAATTCTTTAGTGTTGGGGGGTGCTGTCCTGTGTGCTGTAGAATGCTTAGCAGCACTTAGCAGCATCCCTGGCCTCCACCCACTACGTGTCAGTAGTGTGCACTACTTATCACGACCAAAAATGTCCCCACATGGTGTCAAATATCCCCTGGGGGAAAAACTGGCCTTCCCGACTGTTCCGAACCACTGGGATAGATGAAAGAAGCGAGGCGGTTTTTTTTGTTTGTTTGTTTTTTGTCTGTTTGTTTGTTTGTTTTTTAAGACAGGGTCTCAATTTGTCATCATGTAGACTGGATTGCAGTGGCATGATCACAGCTCACTGCAGCCTCAACCTCCTGGGCTCAAGTGATCCGCCCACCTCAGCCTCCCCAGTAGCTGGGACCACAGGCATACACCACTATGCCCGGCTATTCTTTTTTAATTTTTTATAGAGATGGCATCTTGCTATGTTGCCCAGGCTGGTCTCAAACTCCTGGCCTCAAGCAGTCCTCCTGCCTCAGCTTCCCAAAGTGCTGTGATTACAGGCATGAGCCACTGTGCCTGGCCAAGAGTGAGATTTATGAGTCAAAAGGTGCTATGGTTTGAATATTCATCCTCTCCCAAACTCCTGTCGAAATTTAGTTTCCACAGTGTCAGTATTGAGAGGTGGGGCCTTTAAGAGGTGATTGGAATAATTCATTCATGGATTAATGGGTTAATGAACTAATAGATTATCATGGAGTTATAAGAAGAAGAAGAGAACTTGAACTTGTACACCCAGCCCCTCGCCATGTGGTCTCCTGGGCCAGCTCAGGACTCTGCAGAGAGTTCTCCGTCAGCAAGAAGGCTCCTCACCAGATGTGGCCCCTTGACCTTTAACTCTTCAGCCTTCAGAACTGCAAGAAATAAATTTATTTTCTTATGAATATCCCAGTTTCAGGTATTCTGTTATAAATAACAGAAAAGGGACAAAGACAAAAGGAATGCATGTTGAGTGTAATACACAGGCCGAACAGTCATTCAGGGGCTGGCACATTCCACACTCCAGGAGGCAATGTCAGATAGACATTTCTCACACCATCACCATACTTACCGGCAATGCTGATGGCTGAGACAGGGCATCTCGTTTAGTTTTAGGTTTGATTTTCTTAATTATTACCTAAACGTCTTCCATGTTTATTAGTCATTTGAATTTCATTTATTATGAGTTACCTATTCAGTGTCTTTGTCTATTTGTCTATTCTTCTTATTGATGTTCAGAGAAAATGTCCAAAATATTTGGCAACCACGAGGGCATTGGATCTTCAAATGCCCAAACACCTGCCCCCATAGGATGGACACCAGCTGTTTACACCAACACAGGAGTCCTGGGTGCGGTGAAAGAACATCTGCCATGTGGATTTGTTGCTGTTCTTTATTTACTATGGAAATTAGCCTCTTGCCTGTGATAGGAATCACACATATTATCTCGGATTAGTCCCATGTCTTAAAGCTTTGTTTGTTATTTAAATTTCAAAGTAGACAAATTGAGATGCCTTCTCCTCCTTTATATATTATTTTACTTATTTTTATTTTATTTTATTTTCAGATGGAGGTTTGCTCTTGTTGCCTAGGCTGGAGTGCCATGGCGAGATCTAGGCTCACTGCAACCTCCACCTCCTGAGTTCAACCAATTTTCCTGCCTCAGCCTCCCAAGTAGCTGGGATTACAGGCATTCACCACCACGCCTGGCTAATTTTTTTTGTATTTTTCGTAGAGACAGGGTTTCACCATGTTGATCAGGCTGGTCTCAAACTCCTGACCTCAAGTGATCTACCCACCCTGGCCTCCAAAGTACTGGGATTACAGGCGTGAGCCACCACATCCAGCCTATATCATATTTAGAATGTCTTTTCTATCTCAACATTCTCTTTTTTGTTTTTTCCCTTATTGGCATTTTTTTTTTTTTTTTGATATTTAGGACT